AAGATATTATAAATTCTCCTCGACCGAAAAACACTTGGTAAATTAAAAAGAAGCGACTGTGGAATAAATTTTTAAATCAACGTCGGGTGATATTTATCACGACTTTTGCTCGCTGAGAAATCAGATTCTCATCTCATACCAACCAGAAAAGCCAAAGCCGATTATGGCAACAATTTGGCTAAGCAAGTTGAAACTTACTACGGCACGGTTCATGAGTAGTAGATTTACTGTGCTGCACCTTATCTCTGTGCTTGATAAGTGGATGGAGATACTGGACATCGGAGGGGTGATTGATGTTGTGAATTGTGATTTTAGTTTTTTTATTTTTTATTTGTTTTCACGTCCGATATTTATTGTTCCCATGTCGTCTTGTTTGTTTTTCAAATCAAATACTGAGTAGTTAGACTATTTAAAACTGTTCCTAAGTGCTGATTATTATTGTTTAGGGCATGTGGCCTAGTGGTTAGGGTTTATAGCTTTCAATGATAGGGTCAGGGGTTCAAATTCCGCAGGTGGCAGCCTGTTGTGATCTTGGGCAAGTCACTTTAACCCTATGTGCCTCTCCCCACCTATAAAAATAGGTACCTGTGAGGGCAAACACGGTTGTGTTTGTGTAGGGATATTGATAATTAGCGCCTCAGAATAGTCTTCTGAATAGATGGCGCTTTAAATGTGTAATTTTTATTGAACTGAAAAGCGGTCTTTCATTTCAGTCTTTGAAACTGAAATTGTTTATAACAAATAAGTCTTTGCATAAACATTAACACAATACATGTATCATGCCATAACTTATCATCTGCATGCAGGAGTACATCTAGTTGCCGTGGTAATCATCTATTTTGAATTTTTAGCGAAAATGGTCAATTCCTGGCACGATCGAGCTCTTTCAGATCAGCCGTTTTCAGCTTCTATAAATTAATAAGCTAGCAAATATTTTACACATTCCTTTTCGGAGTTCAAGTTTTAAAAAGGTTCGTGGGGAAATATAGTGGAAATTCTCAACTTTTGGGTATCATTTTCAAATTCTAGGATGCCTAAATAAGTGCCATCAGGATTTAGGTTTCAGGTTCTACTTTGAGTGCCACTTATTTGTTAGGGGAAATGAGCTAAATATGCCATTCTCATGCGACAGAAGACTTCCTTGTAAGCATGTTGGACCGTACCAGCGCGTGTTTGTAGGCCAAAACGCAGACAATCGACGAATTAAATTTGAACTTGATCCGACTTTGTCTGCGTCTGTATTTGCGTCAGTCGCGATGAAGTACATTACATTCACATGCATATCAATGATTTCGTATCATTGTGGAGTGTAATTGGGCACTGCTGTCTGCGTCTCTATGTCCACGTGCATGATAACTTTGTTTAAATAGTGTACATGTACATGCACAACAGAGCAAACCGCGGAGTCTGTAGTTTTAGACGTAAAAAGCCGTTTGAACTCTACAGTAGGAGGATTAAAGGGAGCTGAAGAGCCAGTAGGCCTACATTTCGACTTAATGAGATTTTCTGTCAAAATAAAATGGGACACGTTGAATACTTCTAAGGAGGGCGCTTCAGGATGAGCTGACACATTGAAGTTGGTTAAATACGATTTTTTCGACGAAATTCTAGCCTATTTAAATAAGGAAGGCAAAATGTCATTCATCATGAGTGATTTTAACATCGCTTTATTGAATTATAATAATCATAATTCAACTTAAAATTTCGTAAACGCTCTTTTCAGCATTTACCACTGAGAGACAGACCAACTCGTATCACGTCTACAACGCTACTCTAATAGGTAACATATCTAATGGTATCGGACACAAAGAGAGTGGTATCCTGTTTAATGACACTTGTGTATCAAGTCCCGATCGTCCTTTAACGTTAGGGCTATTGACAAACACATTGCATGTCGTTCTTGACAGACACATTACACCGGAAATATTGGAGAGGTTTAAAATCGATTTAAGCAATGCAAGCTGGAACATTGCTCGTTCAGACAACCCTAACCTTATTCTTAATAATTTCAATAATCAAGTTTCGAAAATATACGGAGAAAACCTTCCTTTAGAGAAACCCAAGCCGCCTAGAAAGCATAATTCGTGGATGATCACAAAAAGTACCCTTCCGAATTTAATACTCGTGGTAACCATTTAACTATCTTTCAAGACATAGTAGATGCTTTTAATGACTATTTCACGCAAATAGGTCCCTCTCTTAATAAAGTAATTCCCCATACTAACGTTAATTGTCAAAATTTCTTGACTGAGCCCAACGAAAATTTTATTTTCCTTAATCCTAGAAGTAAAACTGAAATTAATGACAAAGTCTCCGAATTCATGGATGGTGTCAAACCTGGGTTAATCAAACTTATTACTACCAGTGTAAGTGATCCCCTTTGTACCTTCTTCAACTTCTCTTTATCAATAAGAATTTTCCCAGATAAATTAAACATTGCCAAAGTCACCACCCTTTTCAAAACAGGTGATCTGGCTCCGCTTACATATTGTTTCGCTAAGAATTTTGAAAAACTTGTTTACAATAGAACACAATAATTTCTTGAAAAGCATTTTTCAACAAGTATGGTTTTCGACATGGGTTCTCTACCTCAATGGCACTTATTTAATTATGTCAAGTGCCACAGGGCTCTTTGCTCGGGCTTCTACCCTTTTCAATGTATTTTTTATAATGATAAGTCATCTAGTGCGCTATCTTAAATATTATATGGAGATGTTTCCAGTTTGTTCCACTTTGACAAAGATTTAGTTCCCTTTACAATAATATTAATAAAGAACTAGAAAGTGTCTTTGATTGGTTTATAGCTAACCCGTCTAAATTATGATTGCCTTTGATCTTTCAATAAGCGAACTGTGCTTGCTTGAACCTATCCACATTGCTTGAATTCTTGAGGAAAAACTATCGCAAGAACTCAAAACTGTCACGTTGTATCTATTAAAAAGTTCTGGTTGGGCTATACTAATTAATTTACTGGGGAAAACACGCCTCTTTCATCTTTGAATGTCTGATCTGTTTCTTTTGTGGGGTTTATTTCGGGTTTTTCTGGCTTCTTTCACAATGATTCAACCAGCACCTCCGGGTAAGGATTGTACGTATTTTTTTTTGTAATGTTTGACATTCATGAAATTCCGTTTTTGGCGCCTGCGCTGTTAGATGATGTACGAAATAATAATGAAATGAATTAAATGAACCTACCCCATTTTTAAACAAATGTGTCAAAAAGACGGGTACATCTAATGTGTGATTTTTACAAGCGTCCGTTAGATACTTTATTTAAATTCTATACTTAGTCCATACACCATGGAACTAGTTTATTATTTTAACATCTAGAATGAAAAACGAATTAAACAAAATGATTACGAGTATCATTCAAAAGTTATTTTCCATATGAAAAAATATTAAAGATGTTCTAAATCTTTACTGATATTTTGCAAACAACTACAGGTTCGATGTTTGCTATTACTGTTGATTTAATTGTGTGTTTTCGTAATTATCTTCAAATATAGTTCACCTCAGAATACGGAAATGTTAACCAAAAAGCCATCGTGGTCCAGTTCGGTAATGAAAGCAGTACGTCATACTAACGTTGTATCTAGAAGTAGCAAGACATGAATATTGTTTTTAATAACCATGTACCATTGTTTAGGTTGATTAACACTTTCATTTTGTTCTTTTTCTGTAATAATTGGAAGATGTGATTCAGGTTAAACTTTAACCCGTCCGTTCAGTGAAAACGTTCTTAAGAACGTGATGTGTTTTAAACTCTAATGATTGTGTTTGTTTTTAGTTCTTCATTAGGCATCTGTTAACACAATTTTGTGTTCTTCACTTTAACCACCAAAATTCACACAAACTTTAATACTACTGGAAACAATTAGCTGAAATGCTCCATGGATCTACATTAAGGCTAATTTAGTTCTACTGTAAAAACATGAATGTTGAGCTTTCTTGCAAACGCTAAACCTTCCACACCTGTGTGTACTAATTAATCAAGGAATCACAAATATTTATGTTGTACAAAATGAAAACATGTCAATTACGCAGCTGCATTGTCATTCTGGTGTCTTTAACCCTTTTTATCCTCTATCATTGACTACATAAGGTATCTCATTAAATGTGTTCTGTCGCTGTCTTAATGTGAAATGATCCATCCCATAAAAACGTCCTCCTCAAGACATTGATAACCTCGTGATAAACTTCACCTTGTCTCAACAAGCCGGGCCTCCTGAGACAAATACCCACGAAAGGAGTGAAATTTTCGTGATTTCAATGCTATACATTCTTACTACCTTACCCTTCTGTACTCGTCTGTTTAGATTTTATGACAGCGACCTCCAAGCATCTGAAAGCAATTAGTAAGCGAAAGTTAAGGTGCTAAACCCTATTACGTGGCAATGAAGCAAATAACTCATTTTCTGATCAATTACTTTCTGAGTGGGATAGCTCTATGTGAGCGAAGCATATAACGCCTTCCTGAAGCCTCACACTTGATGTGCCTTACCCTAGTTTAAGTAATTCCTTCAAGGGATAAGAAAATAGTTTAATCGATAATAACGTTTTTGTCATTTCAAGAGGTTAGTTGAGGAACAACATTAAAGGAACACTTTTAAAGATCACTTTGACTGATGATTTTTTATAAGGTTACAAATATCAGAGCAAACTAAGATCTGAGTATCATAATTAGATAATTTAAATTTGGGAAGAAGAGTTTCTTCTGATTGTAAGTTAAACAATTAAGTTATGAGGTTGCGTCTTTATTGGGTACCACACAACGCTTATTCATGTTTATACATGACAACTTAATTTGCTGTATGACCTTTTCTAACAGGTAATTACTAATCGAATAATTGCAGCTCCTTCAGGAACTGTATTTGAAAATGATTTGCGCACGATGTACCATTTAATAAAAGTTTGATTGCAGGTAAGAACCAATCTAGAGCTTACAATATATTTGACACAAATCTTTTGGTAGAAGGACTTTTTTTTCTGACCGCTTACAGAAACCTCTTCCACGTCTTCCGGTGCCGCCTCTGCACAATACATTAGCTGCATACCTGCAGTCGCTAACGGCCACGGTATCTAGGACACAGTACGCCACCACCAAGAGCCTGGTGCAAGAGTTTGCCAAGCCGGGAGGACAGGGGGAGTACTTGCACCAGAAGCTTTTGGAGTATACAGAAACACAAACAAACTGGGTGAGTTAAGTTACAGTGCCGTCTTTGTTTAGCTGGTTTCCTCTTACCATGTTATGTTCACGTCCTTCTTGTTAGTTCTAGTTGTAGACTTTGTAATTATTGTTTGATATGTTTGGTGTTACGTTCTTGTTCCTGTTCTAATTTTTGCTCATGTGTCTTTGTTTTTGGGTTTTGTTTTGCAGTTGTTCTGAAAAGTTCCCTACCTTTTATTTGGAAATTTGGATCCCCTTTTAGAAAAATTCTATTAACTCCCAACTTTATAATCAGTTAGGACTCCGTACGATTGGATATTTCCTTGCGGCGTTAGGTCTACTTTGTCTATCGCCCTGCTAGTTGTAACTCTAGACAGCTCACTGCAACACTCGTCCACACAAAGCATACCTTACAAAAAAAGAGACAGACTCGCGGGGACGTGTACCATCTATCTTCAGGCACCCAAAGTATCATTTAATAATTTCGCCTGTTTTGTAGTCAAACAGATGGTGGTTGGATGACATGTACTTGAACAATCATGTGCCACTTCCACTCAACTCGAACCCAGGGATGGTGTTTCCGAAGCAGCACTTCAAAGATGAGGGCCAAAGGCTAAGGTAGGTAGATGCCTCATTCGCTTTTACAGAAAGAGGTACACTTTGCGTTAATTAGGAACCTCTTGATGCTACTGACAAGTCTGTGGTGACAATCCTCCATGTAAGAATCAATAATTAAATAATTATAGTAACCATAAAAAGACAACATGCCTGTTTACAACTGTCAGATATAAAAGAAATCTGATGGGGCTGACCAATCATGAAAAATTCCTGAATCCATCCCTGTCCTCCAGTTTTCTCATCAGATTGACTGCGCGGTATGTTTCTGTACTTTTTTGTTGCAAATGAAAACTTGCCACATTTTTGCGCGATGACATTTCATTTGAAATCATGACTTAACCCTTAATTCAGAACGCCTACATGTACAGTGTACATGTACATTGCAAGATTGCACACAGTACGTGCAGTATTGTACGCTTGCAATAGACTACGTTGTGTTTGATGTAGCTTGGCCCACAGACAAACATTGTACTAGCTAAGACTGTGTCTTTTAATTTCTACGTTAAACTGAAACGATGCCGATGACGTCATCAAATCAGCTGGGGAGCGCGAACGGCCTAAAGGGGATTTTTTTCTGGGCGGGAAACACAGGATCTTTTTTATTCATTTTGGGGTCACGATTATTGGGGTAAACATTGAATTTATGATGCTTTTGATTATTTTTATTTTGAAATACCAACTAACTAACCGTTTTCTATTTCTGTTAGCCTTTAAGATCACTTAAAAACTCTTACAAGGCCAGAATGTGAAAAACAAAACACTGTGGGCATATCGGAAAAAAGTTAGGGGGTAGGACCGCCAGAACAGTACGTATTTACCCTCCTTGCACAAAACGCGCCACCTGAGTTTGGTTGCAAATTCATTCTGTTGCAAGGTGTGATCGATGTCGGATACAGTCTGTGGGACTGAAGATCAATGGTTATATATCCATAGAGATCATAAGTAGAACTTTATGGTACATCTCGTAGCACACGCCGCGTGCGCCATTGTGGGCGTTTCAAAATAGTGCACCACCAAGAGTTTGTAATGCGTTGGCCAATCATAACGCGCGAAATGTGTCGTCAAATTGCCGATTTGTCACAAAGTGATCAGTGGTACAATACATTTCATGCATAGGGGAAATACCATCGACCAACGTATATCATTAATGTTTTAATTTTGGATTATATTCCGATTGGAGCTTTATTTACCGACTGGAATTCATTATCGGAGCAGGGGTGCCGCACCCACACACACCCCTGTTGTTACGCCCATTTGGTCAATTGTTAATTGAATAAAACGTAGTGCTTTGAAATAACATAATTGTTTAATATTATCTTCATATGGAAACCTTTTGTGCCAAAAGGACCCCCTCAAAATGCACGGCTGAAGTTGCTGTGCACAGAGAGTACAAAAACACGCCCTCTTTTGTTGCACTCGGAGCGGATACGGGACACAGAAGCACTACGTTATTCATGTTCCACTCGCTCGTGTGATAATTAACAACAACAACATCAACAACAACAACAACATATGTTGAGATAATTATGCCGTATTATTAATTTTGTAATGTTGTACTATACGAACTACAAACCATTTATGTAAAGATAAGTGTAGTTACACCAATTTTGGTATTAGACAGTATATAGAGCCTGACGGTTGGCACGCACGTAGACAAATTTGAATGTACATGTACTTCCTTCCATGAAATCTGAGGGTCATCTTGCCTCCGGGTTCTCCAAGCACTTTACGCAGAAGATGCAAGCGATCCGTCACAGTTTTCCGACGACTGCCTCAACTGGAATTGGAGTTGAAAGCTCCGCATGTCCACCCAGATTATTGTTGTCTGGACCCGATTCCAATAGATCAATTGAAGAAATGCACAGATTGCATTGTGCCATTATTATCCTGCATAGTCAACCAATCACTCACATCTGGTATTGCCACTAAAGCTATCACTAATATCTGCCATTGTACGTCCACTCTTGAAAAAACAACAACCTTGACCTAAAGAGATATGAGAACTACCGTCCAGTCTCCAACCTTCCCTTTCTTTCTCTAAACTGAACGCGTGGTACTTGTCAGATTGTCATCTTCCCTCTGATACAACTGTCTTGTTAATAAGTATCAATCTGCCTACCGGCCTAACCACAGCATTGAAACTGCACTGATTAGAGTTCAGAACGACACATTGACTGCCATGGATAATGTGAAACGCACCGCACTTGTTCTTCTCAATTTATCATCAGTCCTCGGCACAGTTGATCATCTCATATTTCACGCCTTCAGCACCTTGGCTTTGATGGTACAGCATTTTGCTTGTTTCGATCTTACCTCTCTAATTGGTCACAATGACTACAGATTCATGACAAGTATTCATTCCCGCTTCCAAGATTCTCGCATCAGGAGTTCCTCAAGCATCTGTTTTGGACCTCAAAGCAGAGCAGAAATGGCAGTTCATCAACTGGAGCCGTTTATAGATGAGATCTGTGACTGGATGTGTATCAACTTCTTAAAGCTAAATGAAGTTTATCATTATTGGTTCAATAAACTGAGTTTATCATCGTTGGCTCGTAAAATTGATATTGATACGCAATAAAATTGATATTCTCATGTCTCTGCATCACTTGAAGTTCGCAATCCGGGAGCCATTTTTTATTCTACAGTGTCATACAAAGCCAGCATTTCCTCAGTTTGCTGGACTTCATCACTTCATTTACACAATATGGGACCGACCAGAAAATATCTCACGCAGGACGCCAATGAGAAGCTTATCCTCGTCTGTGTCACCAATCGCCTTGGTATGGGAAACTCATTACTGTACAATTTACCGCAAAAACAGTCAAGTCGTCTGACTGTCTCCAGAATGTTGCGGCTGGGATTGTCACTAGGACTAAGATAACCCAACACATCATTCCAGTCTAGAGAAATCTTCATTGGCTGCCTTTGAAGGACCTAATTACTTTCAAAACAGTGGCGGTATGCTCCCATCTTACCTTTCAGACCTCATTCAACTGCGTTCGTCTAATCGGGATAACATGAGATCTAACAATAAACTCCTCGTGGGCCATGTCTCCTCTAAGTGATCTTGGAGAAAGAGATCGTTTGCTTCAGTGCTTCATCCCTATGGAACAAGTTATCTAAACACTTCAACGGTGTTAGTCTCCGAACCAATAATATTCCTCTAAACATGCACCTGTGACGTCATGCAACACTCGAGCGCCCTCTACTGTTTGGTAGAAAAATGTTACAAATCTATTTTGAAGAGGTGGTAATGTTTGTTGGAATGGCTTGAAAATTGGTAAATACAATAACCCTAACGTATTCAACTTTTCGTTAAAAAAGTCGGGCTAATGACGTCATCAGACCGGAAGTTATAGCGAAAAGACTTTCAAATCATCAGAAATCCTCCCCAAATCAATCCCAACCGTTTAAGTCTGCAGTTGCCCACCGAAAGCTAGAGTAAATATATGCATCCATTGTCTACAGTGTTTGGCTCGTTGCAATGTTCATACACACTTTGTGCGGCTAATGATAAAAAAAATTGCCGTGTGCTGAAAATGCCCGTAGGGGTAAGAGCCGTAGCGGTAAGAGCCACATGATTTGTACAAGTAAAGTCTGGTTTCCACATGGTCAGTTGTAACGCAGACGGTTTGCAAGATGTGGATGAGACGCAATGTGACGTCACTCTACCCAAACAATATAACAAAATGGCGCCCGAAACTCGGAACATTTTCGCCCAAAATGCCTTTTTTAGGTGGCAATGTCTCATCTTGAAGCCAAACTGATAGTCTAGTTTGATGTAATTTGTTAATGGTCAGCTATTTTGTTGACGATTAGGGCTGCATGTGCTAGTAATAAGGAGAAAATGAACAAAATTAGTTATACCCAGCGAGAGAAACATCGTTGTACGCCCGTCATGCCAGTGTGCGTGTTTGCACAGGCCTACTCAGCCACTCAACGCAGACAGTCGGCAAAGTTGAACGGGGCTCAACTTTGCTGATCCGTCTGGGGCTGATTTGCGTTATCGGCGACACTTCCGTTTGACAGGTTTCCATTTGTCTGCGTTGTACTTTGTGTCTTGATTGTGTTGCCCTCTGTGTTTTTTACGTCGATATGGAAACCAGGCTGAAAGCGTGTAACGGATCGGAGCTCCGTTACATTGGGGGAACCTGGCAAAATGCCAACCACGTGGCGGGGAAAGCGTATGAGGGTGTATTGTCAGACTCTAATGTAGTAAGGAGGTTAGTAATCCCGCAGACCCGAATTTGATTTTGGCCTGTTCCATGCCTGTAAATGCACTGTATCTTCTGAAGCGTATGTGATTAAGCCCTGCATACACTGTGAGTGTTAACTTTGAACCGTGGACTAAACGACAGCTGTTCGATTCCCGCCCGTTGCAACTTCATTTTTTTAAACAGCTAAGTTTTTGTCAACCGACAAACAGGACGTTCGTCTCATTGTTATTATTATTAATATTATTCTTATTACTATTACATACGTATCTTTCACGACACTGCTTAGAGCTCCGACTTGGTTAGCTTTTACGACGATTATCTTAACTATTTTAATGGGGTCAAAGAGGGTAATGGTTTTACCGACAACTGTACCTTCTGTGACTCCATGTCAAATCGTTACGTTTTATTTTACTAAAATCAGTTACGGACACAGTATAAATGTGAATCAAGAAGTGGGTTGGAACACGTACTGCATAAGATTGCTAATGCATCCCCTCTGGAATACAGTCCAGTCAGAGTGCTTCCTGGAAGTCTTGAGAGCCAGTTCCCATTTGTTGTCCAGAAAACTGAAAATGAATTCTTTAAGTCGGTAAGTAGATTGTCGATCAACGGCTAGTCGGGAACGAGGCAACCAACGTCCCTGCGCAAAGGTAGAAATACATTTTAACGTGTCAGTAATGCAGGTGAAGATCGCAAGGATTTTGCGCTTGCAAAACAATTTTTATCAAACCAATTACCGACTTGGCACCAAGTCTACCTACCAAGACGAATTTAGGAAGCCACTACATCTACCGCGTGGCACCACGCTCCTGACAGGTGATACGTGCACGTTGCAAGCTTTTTTCGACCAGAACGGTGCCATGACTAGCAAAAATGTATGCGCAAGAATACGCATGAGGTGTCATTTCAAAAATAGTGTCCCTTCGGACTAGTCTCTCAGGAGATTAGTCCTGCGCGCGTGAGGCATATTACTATTTCTAAAGCTGGAGGGGTGTTTTCGAAAATGTATGATACTAGTGGTGAGTGAAACCATTGCAGAAAGTTAATTTTCGACTTTATTTCGCTTTTCTACCCTAAGAGGTATTTATGAATAGAAACAAAAGTAGCTTGGGCTCGGTTACTTTTGGTCCCGGGGACCTTGTCTGGCTTTAAACGTACTAATTAAAACCGCCTTTCCAAAAGGAAGTGACTTATTTTACTACTCTAGTTCATGTACAATCTAATTGTCTCCTTGTGTACAGTCTTCATGATTACAGACAATTGTTAATTAATTGATAAAGGTTATTTAAAATCACAAATATCTTAATTATCATTGATCTTCAGTGGGCATTCAAATGACATTTTTTTAAACTCACTCTCTCTGCCCTATGCGTCAGCGTGATTAGGCGTTTAAGATTTTTGAAGATCTCGCAGTTGAAAATGTTGACGTGCGTTTGAGTTGCCTAATTTAACATTAAAAAAAAAGGACATTGACAACAGATTTTGACTGCTTCTTTATTTCTGTAGATTTGCAGCAAAACTAATATCTGGCATACTGGATTACAAAGTCATAATTGATGCGTAAGTAAACTTGTTTGCCCATTCACTTTTTGTGTCAGTGCAATTATTCCACGCACGATATAGGAGCCATATGTCCTCGTCTAAAAACCCCTTCAAACTATGACGCATCGCAATGTTCGAAACGACCCCCAAAATCATTATGAATCTTGCGTAGCATTTCTCAGCCCATTACTGTAATTGAATCTATTGATTGCTTTCCGGCTCATAGAGTCAATTAATTTATGGGATTAACGACTGGCTGCCTGGTTGGAGCTGCAGTCCGCGGTAGATGAAGTGTTGCGCACTTGACGTTTAAGAAATCGGCAGACTGGATTTGTTGACGAAGCAATCTAAGTACGATTGTAAAAAAAAAAGACCTAAAAAAAAAAACCCAGCGAGCCAGCCACTCGGCCCCCACTGTTTTTTGAAATCTAAAGCGACAAAATATCGAAAATCGGGCCACCACCTTCCTTGGCAGGGGATGATGATTCTGTTACGAATAAGTTATATAGTCGTTTCAAAAAAATCATTTTGCTCCCATGGACCCACACAAGACCTGGATAAGGTAAAACCTTTTAATAGACATATCGGTGATAGTTTTTGTTTCTGTTGTATAACTAGACGAGCTCTGCCGGTTGACAGGGTACGGCATCACAAGCCTGGTCAACCATTATGTATGGAGCAATACTACCGGCTGTTCTCGTCGTATCGCGTTCCAGGCGAGGTAAAAGACAGCCTAGTTTCACCCTCTAGCAGTGTAATGCCTGAACCAGAACATATCATCGTCGCATGCAATAATCAGGTAAGCCTGAGGTTACAATCTAACAAGATATAGGACGGAGAGAATCCCCTTTTGTGTTTGTCATTGTCTGATCGGAATTTCGGGAATTCTTTTCACACATCTAGGGGCATGTGTTAGGTACCACTAGTCTAGAGTGTCTTTGGGGCTTGGATGGGTTATATGGGTGTGTGTGTGTGGGGGGGGGTACCCCTCGGACCCATATCATGCCATGGAGGAAGGACACAGAAGAAGCTTGAACTACCTGGGCTATAACATCTGGCCAATTACCGCTTTCTGGCATGCCCGCCAGAGCGAAGCGAAGGCATGCTACCCACCATCTGTTTCACAACCATACAAAACCCTTTACCCCAAGACCATCGACGATTTTTTTCGGTGGTAATCTGCATCCTTAAAATGTTGTGTACTGCAGTATAAGATGTTGAATATTCATGCCATCGTTGGTGCTCGGTATTGGTCTGACAACATCAAATTTAATGCATGCACAGTTGCGTTTTTAGCTGTGTACCCGAAGTGTTCATGTGTGTTTACAAGACATTGTGTTTTATTTGAATCATTTTTATTACGGAATTTACACAATAAGGTATTTTATGAATTCTCACGTACGATCACTCCTTATAATGGAATATTTACTATTGTTCGTCTGACCGGGCGGTGATGATCATCGAGCACTTTGATGTGCCAGAGTTGTAACTCCTTCCGTGTCCTTCTTCCGTGATCTTGCCTGGTATACTCATTCCGCGAAAACGCAACGAAACACGACATGCCTACGATGTGTCGGCGCAACTCATAGGTATCATAAAGTTACAGCCCGTTATTCTAGTTATCCAAAATGTAAATGACCAAACTGGAAGTTTTGTCTGTCAGAAGAAGAAGAGAGCGAAGGGCTTTTTGGCATTTCCTTTTTTCTTAAGAAAAGGGCATTTCTTCATTTGAGATACTTCCACATTCGGATTTCTCACTTCTTAATCAAACATCTATCCAAGAGCTACAAAAAATTCCCAAAGTTTCTAATAATATTTTGGGCAACCCTGTTACGACGAAATATTCAAACCCTTTCGGACATTAGGAGATAAAACGAATTAAAGTTTGCACCCTTCACATCATGTCATCTTCTATATAACACTTCCATGCTAGCTATCTATCAAATTTCAACCCAATCAGACATGTAGTATTGTAGTTCACGAGATATAGGCCTCTAAAGAAGTACCTTTAATGTCACGTGACTTGTCACATGATGACGTCATCATCACATAAGTTCGATGTTCGTCTAAAGCCCTCTTTCAAGATATCTGCAAGATCATGTATGTCACGAAATACAGTGTGCAGTTACTTGTCGCAAAATGACGTCATCACCACATCAGGTAAAAAAAAACATCGACTGAAACACTTCCTTTTCTTATTATCTGCAAAGTTTCAACACGATGGGATATGTACTTTAGAAGATTGAGGGCTTTAAACAGTGAAACATGACTTTGTCACCTGATGACGTCATCATCACATAAGGTAAATAATCGTCTAAATCACTTCACTGTCAAGGTATCTGCAAGGTATGAACCCCAAAAGAAATACGCTTCAGGAAATGTAGAGTCTTAAATAGTGCCCTTTAATGTCACGTGACTTCACCTGATGACGTCATTATAGCATGGTGTCAATGTTTGCCTAAAACACTTTCATTCAAGATATCAGCAGGGTTTTAACCCAATCAGGCATGCACTCCAAGACGTATAACGCTTTGAAGAGTGCACCTTTTGTCACGTGACTTGTTACAAAATGACGTCATTTTCACATCAAATCAATTTTTTGTCTAAAACGAACCCCTTCTAAGATATCTGGAAGATTTGAACCCAATGGATAATGTACTTCACCAGATACAGTGCTTTGAAGAGTGCACTTTTTATGTCAAGTGACTTGTCACATTATGACGTCATCATCATGCCAAGTCAATGCTCGTCTAAAGCACTTCCCTTCTAAAAAGCCAATAATAAGGAAAGCAATAGCTGTTTCGGCTGACTTGCCGAAAGTTGGAAGTATCGAACATCAAAAAGGTTGGGTATGTAAGGAAAACAAAGAATTAATTATAATTGGCGTAAATAGCGTTGCAGTCACGTGGCATGGCTTGTTTTGTTGAAAGAGACTGACAGTGTAATAATATAATGAACGCCGATCTTGGTCAATTTTCAGATGTCAATGTCGTTAGTACGGTGCTATCAGAGACATATAAACTTATAGACTTTCAGCTTCATAGACATTGCCGTCAGGATATCTTGGAGGTAACGGCACCCGTCTACGTCAAGAATTGTGGACAAATTTTATATGCAGCAAGGTATGAGACGGAGAGAACCCCCCCCCCTGCTTTGTGTTGGTCATTGTCTCGCAGGAATCTGGGGAATTCCTTTCAGACATCTCGGGGGATTTGTTAAGTAACAATCGTCTGGAATGTGTATAGGGATTGGACATGTTGGGGGGGGGTACCCCTCGGTCTCATTTCTTGCTGGGTATAACAAATTTTGTTCTGATGCAAAGCGTTTTTTGCTCATTTTTATATTTTGATCTGAGAATTGTATTCTGAGAACTATTTCCTGTCTGTGAAGGAAGCCTCTAGGTACAGCTTCCTCACTTATTCACTGTATGACACAGTACATGCACCTTTTTACTCAGGTTTGATTAGTAAGTGATAAGCTGAATTTTCCTTGGTTGTGATTGTTTAATTCATATCGAAATCTTGGGAAGTATACAAAACTGTCAAATGTATTTCTCTGGATTTTGTAATGAAAGTCTCTTTGAAGTAATATATAGCGTCTCATCAAGAGGGATTTTTAAAAATCTACCGATAAAATAACTAGACCGAGAAATACAAATGCAACTGACAAGTACATAGACTTAAGAATGGAGCTTTCAAGTTAATGTAATGTAAGGCATTCCGCCTTCCAGATAAATGACCTCTAGCACTCCCATTAACTACCAAGACGAGCACAAAGTTTTCTTGGTGCTGGCAAAATGTTGTCGATGACATTTTCATTGTCTTGTGCCTTTCTTCGTAGTTTTTTGTACTGGACGTTATTGTCAATTTCAAGCGGTTAAGTGAGCAAGACCTTCTCAGTCAGTTGAAACGTATCGTGGATGTATCGCACCAGCACCCTGCATCTCACCCTGTGGGTTTGCTGACGACAATGGGCCGAATAGAGTGGGCCAAGGCTAGAAAAAGGCTAATTAAAGGTAAGTGGGCGACCACTGCATCCCTGTTAATTGATTGTACTCTAATTTCCCCGGGAGAGCTTCAAAGTACCTGAAAAAGAAAATCGGGTGAACAAAATACATGTATCGTGTAACCGCTGAAAGTGATCATGAGGGTATTGTAGTTTGGTACAAAATTCATGAATTCCAAAGCAGCAGAGGAGAATATGCAAATTGAACAGTGCATGCACCGGTCTGGAATGTTTGCGATGGTGAAATGGCCAGGAGTCGATTAAATTGAGTCCGTTAATGTAGTGTCTTGAGCCGATACCAGACATAATGTAAAGAAGTCAATTGAGTCAAGTATTCAGCTCGAGTCAAATAGAGTCATAAATAAAAACAAAACCACAATACAACATATAAACACAAAAGAACATGTTACTTTTGGGGGTATTTCTATTCTCATCAGAGCTAATACATTTGGTGACACCACATGTTACTCCTCATGGAAATAAAATAGGTGCCAGTTATTGCCATTCAATGAAGGACAATTTCT